ACACAGACACCGCTTCATTGAAAAAATTCACACCCTACCCCCTCTCCTTTCCACGTTTCCCATCCTGCTTTAGTACGCTCAAGAATTCTCGGCAAGTCAGTCAGTTTTAAGGAGTGAAACAGGCGTGTAAAAGGCAGTAAGGACTTCTTGGGCAGGCTAAGCTGGGCCAAAACCGATAGTCCCTCGTTTAGGTAGATTCGTGCCGTGCGGGCGGCGGCCCACCGCCCTTGGATCAGGATTCTATCCAGAGATCCGTGCTTACCAAACCAAAATGTGGCCCCACCCCTGCGGAGTGAGTAAGGCCTAAACCCCATATCACTCAACGACAGTGCAGCGAGGCATTCACTAAATTTGGCTCGCCATTGATGCGGGGGAGGTGTCAGCGGGCTGTGTGAGGTTGAGGTTTTCTTCCAAGCCCAAAGCCATGCAAGAACGGGACCTACTGTGACAGTGATACTCTCTGCAGCCCCTGTGCGTTTGCCACCTTTCGTCATCCCTAGGGATACGACGGCAGGCTTGTCCGGACCCGTCATGAAAATGTGGTGGTTGCACACTGACAAGAGTTCACCTGTACGAAGAAGTCCGTAGAAACCCAACATCAAAGAAAGCCCGAACGCATACTGTTCGTGGAACAAGCACCAGCCTAACATGGCCTCGAGGACCGCCTCCGGTAACGGAGGTGCACGGTTGGGCACCTCATTAGTGTGCCAAGTCTTCAGGAGACGCCATGTCCCTTGGAGCTTTCCTTTCAACTGAGGTTCTGCATCCTGCATGGCAGCAACACTGTCACTTGCTAGAGCTCGCCCCTCTCCCGAGGCCCATAGGTGCTCAACGTAGTCAGAGAGAAGGTCATCAAAAGCTGGCAGTCTACGAGGCAGCTCCAACTGGTTTTCATGCAGGTAGGCGTAGAACTTCTCCCGGGCAGCCTGGTAGCGCTTTCGCGTCTTGGGTTGTATGGCCAGTTGCTTCAACGTTCCTAAGCTTTGTCGTTGCTTCGCTCTCTCTTCTTTGCTGCGACCCTCCAAATGCACACCTACCTTCCCCATTTGCGTCGGAGCGGCCGCCGGCTAGGCCGGTCGGCAGGGTTTTGACTTGTATGCACGTAACCCCAACAGGGGTGGAGGTCGGCAGCGAGAAGGAGCGAGTTGACTTTCACCAACACCATGCGAAGCTTCTGACTTGAGGAACGCCCACGCGACAAAGCATGCAAACACACCAGGCTATCAATGAGATGCAACACCCTACATTGTCTCAAACGCCGGCGCTGGACCATCCATCTGATTGTGGTCAAGACTGCCCGAAGCTCTAGGATGTTGATGTGATCCCCTGCACGTTTCCACGACCAACCGGCGACCTCTCGCCACTTCCACAGCTTTGCTGGGACACTTGTCCTCAACCGATGGAACTTGACCTGCGGCTCACTGGCACTCTGGACCATCAAATCCTCACCTTTGATGGAAACTAGGCCTAACAACTTGCGCAACAAGGGCTTCTCAAGGCAAGTCAACAAGCGACCATGCACCCCCACTGGAGGTCGAAGTAGCAAGCTTTGTAGGTGTGTGCCTCTCCCGGGCGTGAGCTTGTCCACAATGTCCTGCACGGAGTGAGGGCGACAGAGGCCCAGTTTGAAGGCCAATTGGTACACAAGCCAAGCAATAACTCCTACCTGCCAGGAGTTACCCACAAGTGTAAGGCGAATGTCATTCCAATGGTCTCCTCGCTGATCCTGTTTACCAACGCAAGGTCGAGTGTATCCCACTGGGATCCCCATGCACGCTTCTCGTTCAGCGATGTTGGGCAACCGTCCTTCCCCCCTTTTGTTCCAAACCAATTGATGGTCACGGTATTGGTAAGGCGGGAACCTGAAGGAGTCATTCTCCCAGCGTTGGCGTTCATGCTCTGCGCAACGGTCCAACCCGGCTGGGCGACGTCCTGGCGAACTCCTTGGCCTTGAGGTGGTGAACGTAGGGAACCTGGCCCCTTGGGCTACATGCCAACCTGCTTCAAGCAAGGATTCCCCATGGATGTCCGCGGTCAAGTCCACTGAACCGACGAAGTCACAGCCCGACTTTTCGGGAGCGTTCACAACAGCTCCCTCCTGCGGAGTCAGCTCCCAAGACACCCAGTACAGCCGCGGCCTATGACAGAGCGTGATGCCGGCCGAATCAATGTAGTGAGGTTGTAAGTTCACAGCACGACTCATCACCACCCGATCAGCGTCTGACATGGATGCGACTGATTCCATGAGGAGGTGTACTTGGGCCCACGGGAAATACTGTTCAAACAGACTTCTGATCCGTGGCACTTCCTGGAAGAGGCTACTCCTGGCGTCCAACAGTGCTCCCTTCTTACTGGCGTTGAGCCCGCTCACACCTTGGCACGGTGGTCCCGCACCAATCAGTACCAGCCCAACAGATGGAAACCTGAGGCTAAGAGATCGCACCACTGAGGAATCCACGGTCACGACATCTTCATGAAAAATGGCATCAGGGAAGTAGGACTCAACTACGCGTCTTGCCGTGGGCTCCTTCTCCACACTCAAGTGTCCTGCTACCGGTATGCCCAGAGCATCAACCGCCAACCTGAGGGCACCAAGTCCGTCAAAGAGACCAACGGTCAGTACCTGTGTGATCTGAATCTCCTCGGGTATGTCACCTCTCACCTCAGACCCTAATGCAGCAACACCATAGCCCGTGAGCCCTTCACTCACACAAAAGCCTCCACCCCGTGTGGAAGCGTCACTGCACGTCACATGTTCTGCCAGAGGCAACTTCATGCTCATTTGTGCAAGCGGACAAATCAAAATGAACCTGAGAAGCTCCTTCACCACCCGCTTCGGCATTGGCATACGCACTACAGGCGGCAGGTGCTTCAACTTCTCCATGAACCTCCAGACCTCGTTGAGGGCGCACAGCAAGGGTCGACGAAACATGCAGAAGTACACGAAACCTCCACACACCACTTGCAACTCTTTGAGCGTGCACCGCTTCCGTTGAACAAGGTTCAGAGCAAGGGACACATAGAGCAGTACCTTTTCAGGACGCGGCATGGCAAAACCTAACTCCCCGTCCACGATCGCACCTTGTATTTCACCTTTAAGCACGCGCTCTGTAGCCTTCTTCGGGTGCCGTGGCAGCCCCAACCGGGAGTACTCCTCCCTCAAAGCCTCAACCGTCTCTGCAACAGTCCCCTTAATCACTTCCGCCTGGGCCTGACTATGTCGCTCCAGAAGATCAAAATTGTCAAGGTAAACCCTGAAGAGGGCAGAGGACGAAGAACCTACTCTGTCACGCCTCATTTCAGTTTCTCCGCCAAGGCCATGAGGTAAATTCTGTTGGCTCCACTTGACCACGTTTCTGTGAATGTGTTGTGCGATGGACACGCTATTCACAAAACCCATCGGCAGCACTTTAGAGACCAACACACAACGCTTGCCCTTCCATTTGTTTGGGACCAGAGCCTCATCAACCTCCTTATTGAAGCCCAAAAACCTTCTCCACTCAAGGGGAACTTGGAAGAGGTAAAAGAAACACCGAATATCTTCAGCGCTCATCACTGCCACCTCCCCCTCATCTAGCAGAAAGCTGTTGAAAGAAGCAATGGACGGGAGTGTGGCGACCTCTCCAACGAGTGGTTCACAAACACGATTGAAAGGCACCAGATTCATAATTAACCTCTGGGTTTCAAGGGGCCCGACGAATTCACCCTTTCCAACCGCGAACAATCCGTTCAGCAAGGGCTCCTGGCCAATGTGGTAGAGGTTCTCCACCGGCCAGACTTCGCAGATGCCACGGTCCACCAGGCCTCTGCTCAACACACCCCAGTCGTCCCCGACCATAACCTTGGGAGGCTTCGTATGAACCATTGCGTCTTCAGGAACCAGAAAGTCCTCCAAGTGGCGAATGTAATGAAGGGTGCCCTCGGTGCAAAAGTCCAAAAGGTCCAATTGTCCCACCTGCTCTGGAAGTGAGTTTCGAACGGCCTCCCAACACAACGTTTGAGCCAACCGGACCTCCTCACCTGCATAAGTAACCCCTCTCTTCTTGAAGAACGAGTCAAAGTCAATCGGGTCCAAACACATGTCCCACACATCGAATCGCTCGCACAAACTACCCAAATTTTCCACCAGACCCTCCGGGTATCGAGCGGGCACCGGTCCGTGCCCTCGACCTATGGCCAGATGGTTGAGACCAAAAATCATCTGCTCACACGCCTCTCCAGACTTCTCGCTACGGCACGGGGGCAAACGAAGGGGAAAGATGCATTCGTTTGTGGGAATGAAGTCTTCCGTTGCCGTGGTCTGCATGCGCTCATCTTCAAGCTGTTCGAGTAAAACCCGAGCCGCAATCATTGCCTGGAGCATGTTGCTTGGTGAAACCTGGCTGCTACGGGCCTCTGACTCACGTCTTGCTTCGGGAGAGTTCAAGTCGGCTTGCTTTTCTCCCACCGCTGTATGAGACACCGGAACCCCCTTGTCGTCTGCCTCCTGGGCGGAGCTCCCTGCAGCCTCTTTGTCAATGTACTTTGACACCTTCTCTGCTTCACTTTTGCCCCCCTCAAGCCGGGGGGACTTACAATGCACAAATTCCTTCAACAAAGGTCGGCCTCTGCTGTCCACTTCACCGGAGGGGAGACTTCTGCCACAAAGCCTTCCCTCCATCCTCTGCTCCTCAACTCCTTTCACACCATCTTTTCCATCCGTCTCGTCACAAGCAACCATCACTTCTCCTTGTCCTCCTCTCTCTTCCCTTTTCCTTTTCCTCTGTCCCGGCCGCCTTTGCTCTTGCCTTCGCCTTTTCCTTTGTCTCTCCTGCCCTTGTCCTTGTCTTTGCCCTTTCCTCCTTTGTGCCACTCTCTGTCGCCCTGCCACTCCCACGCTCGTCCTCGGGAGTTTCGATACTGTATCCTCTCTTCTTGCAACACCTCCTTGCCCGCTTCCGATGCTTCGTTCGTTGAGACCAGGGTGACCTTTTCCGGTCCAACCAGCTCCAACCGGCGGGCGATATCCGCCTGGACTCCTTTGGCGATCTGCTCGAGGGATTTGATCCTCTGGGATGCAACGTCCAAAGCGGCCGCTGGGCGGCCTCGCAACATGAGGTCTATGACCAGGCACCAATGCTGCATCTCGCGCCCCATCACAGGCCCCACCTGTCCTTGAAGATGTTGCCTGTAATATTGACTGGCCACTGGTGGTAAGCCCCCTTCGCTGCTGGCTGAAAGGAAGCCTTCCGCGGTCATCAAGCTCTGCCGCATATCCTGAAGGACCCCGCAAGACAGAGCCCCTGGAATCCTCTTCCAGATCTGCAACGCCCTGCGCTCTGCCTCGAACAACTCGCTCGAGCCGATCATCTCGTCTGCCAAGCTGGAGGTCGAACTCGTGCTGTCGCTGTCCGGCTCGTCCTTCTCCCGACTGCGTGAACGGCTTCCCGTCTTCTTCTTCTTTCCTCTTCTGATCTTCCGTGCTTTTCTCATCAAAGCCTTTCTCACCTGGGGGTCGGGATCCACTCCCGTGCGATTGAACAGGTCCTTCACGGGCATCTCCAGGCAGGCTTTGACCTTTGTCTTCTCTTTTTTCTTCACCTTCTTCTTCGCCTTCACCTTGTCCTTGTCTCCCTCGCCTACGGGAGCTCCCCCGCCTTCGGGAGAATAGTCCTCCATGTTCACGCCATCGACCACCTTCTTCATCTCTGTACGTAGTTTGGCCAGCTGATCCACCGCCTCTGGCTCTTCGCCTATTGCGAGACCTCGACCTCGAGCATCTTCGAGGTTTGTCCACCAACCTTCGGCGGGCTCCATCTGCCGCCTCACCCGGTCTCCATGGATCAGCTGGTTGTTCCACACTTGGGCTTCGCAAGGACGTCCACAAAGATGTAGTTCCAACTCCTTGCAACGCCCTCCAACTGCTTTTAGAAGGCTCTCGGTCTGGGTTCCTGTAACCCACAGGCTCAACTTTCGGTCGCCTCCGCGGAAGTTCAGCCCGTTCACGACTCCTGCCACAATGCAAGGCGCCTCCCAATACCGACCTTCTACCACCACTTTGTCCAAGCTTCCGATCTCCTCCATGGTGAGTTCCGGGATGGGCCTCCACATCCCTCCTTCTTCTGCCTCTGGAATCTCCTCCTCTCTTGATGCAGGCCTCCTTAACGCGGACTCTCGGTGACCTCGCCGACGATCTGAGCCAGGAAGCCGGCCTCCGGGTCGTCTCAACACCTTTGGAGCCATCACCTCCTCCCGTGCTCTCGATCGTACTCGTTCCACAGCCGGTAATTGAGGTTCTTCTCACGCTTTGTCTTGCCCTTGGACTCAGTCGGCTGGTTGCCTCGATTCCGCACTGGCCAGTACCTGTACCCCTTGGACTTTGGGAAAGCTCGGTACGCTGACCAGTCCTCGTCGTCTTGATGTCCCGGCGGTGGATGATCTGGCTCCTGAGGCTTTCTCCTAGGCAGGACTTTGTCTCTGTCCTTCCTCTCTCCCTCTGTCTCACCTCGGGAGGGCTGTCTCGAAGTTGGAGGTGGTGCTGCACGCCTCGCTGCAGGGTCGAAGTAAGAAGGCCTCGGTGGGGTCTTTGGTCGGGCTTCCTTTGAGGGCTCGGCGGATGCCTTAGCTGTACCTTGGTGTTCAGGACGAGGGGCAGGCGAGCGAGACTTTCTAGGGCTCTTCTTTGTCCTGACGTTGCTTCGGGAGTGTCTGCTCCTCCCTCGGCTAGCACTTCTATCCTTTCTCTTTGACTTCTTCTCTGTAGAGCGTTGGCGGCGATGTCGGGACCTGGATCTTTTGCTTGCTTCTTTCTTCGGACTCTTCGATGGTGTGCTCACGGGAGTATCTTTCTCTCCTCCCCCTTGCGACCCACTGGCGGCTGAGACGGGTTCTTCCTCCTCACTTTTCACTGATGGCGCTTCCCGTTTTTTCTTTCCTCCGGAGGGTGTGGCAGACCCCTTCGAAGTTCCTTCCGACTTGAAAGCCGGGGTAGAGTATGTGGCACGTCCGACCCCGTCCTTCGACTTCGACTCGGCCTCGTCGAGGAGTTCAAGGTAAACCTCGCGCAGCTTTCTCACACAGTGCCGTGAGAATGCGTCTCCTAGCTTCTCGTTATACACAAGCAGCAGGAGGCGCTGGGAGGTCAAACACAACTGGCAACGGCAGGTCGCCCAGTTGTGGATTTCCCCCATCAGCTGAAGCCGAGAAACTGGGGAAAGCGAGTACGATTTTCGTCTTTAATTACGAGAACGAAAGTCATTGATATATATATAATACAATATGTATACACTCTGGGCTAATAAAGAAGCAATTGTGAGTCCTTATTTTACCTGACCTCGCAGTCTGGGGGTGAGCCAACGTGGCAGTCAGTATATATCCAGCTCAAAACGTCAAGAATTCATAGGATTTGGGTAGGCGAAAGCGAATTGCCACGAGTTGGATCAATCCGTTCTCGAAGACCAAATTGCTCAAATTCAGCAACTGCCCCGTTATACTCGAATCTAGTGGATAAACACCTGACACGGCAACTGACATGTGTGTGTGTTCACTGCTCACTTATCGGACCTTTTTTCCTTTACCAAACGGTCATGCAAGTTTGTTCGTTCAGAACTTGCAATCAGGCTCTGACTGCAATTTGGTCACGTGATCACAGCCATCACCCGTTTCTGTGAAATAAAACTGTGGAAAAGCACGTCGGACAGGGCACATCATGACAGCATGAGACACATCATGACCATGCTGATCTGCAGGGCTCAGTCCTCCAATCGAAACGCAATGCCCTTTCTTTGAGCAACTGAGGCTGGCTGACCGGCACCTGACCGTGTGTCGAAATGCTTCTCTGAGCCCATCGGATGCGCGAATCAGATTCCGGCTACCACTCATCAAACGAATGGAAGCTGGATCAGTATGTATAGGCAGATTCTTCACCCAAACAAATGAGCCCCAGGGTTTCCAATGCATCATGTGGACCCGATGTTAAGGAACGCCTGCCGAAACCTGCATGTGAAGTGAAGCTCTCATGACCTGCAAGCAACGGGCCAGCCTCCAATCTCCTAGAAGCTCTTCATGGAACAAGTTGCTTGATGGTGCTCTCAGTTGTGTGAGCCTTGATGGTGCTCTAAGTCCAAACACTCCCAACCAGCCACCGGAGATCCGCAGAAGCGGATCGCTCATGGCTATCGGCAGGACCCCCACATAGTATCACCAAGTGACAAACTCACCACCCGAACATCCCTAAACCCAAGTCGTCGGACTCCCACACCAAGATGACTAGCTGCCTAGCTTATGTGTTGTTTTCTATTTTTTATGGCTATGTGCTGCCATGTGCTGCCCACCCAGAAGCAACCTCCCCTTCAAGCCAAAGCACCTGGTGCCATCTCGATCAGGGAGGCCTGCCAAAACTGCGACATGCTGGAGGCACTGGGCTGTTGGGGGCCTCCTGGTGCCCCTCTGACTCTCTCAACAAGCTTCCCCGGCCCGAAACAGAAAGCACTAAGAGATATCCTCCGGGTGTCCCTTTTTGGTGAGGTGACGGCCTCGAAGGGACCATGAGATCCTTTAGACCAAACAGGTGGTGAACTCACTCCACCTGGTCTGTAGCCACTCTTTGAGATCCGTTCTTCGTTCTTGCCCCACACGAAACAAAAGGAACATGCGAACACAAAGCAGGGAACTTACACTCCTACAAACATAGAAAAGGAACATTGCCACTGGGAAGGCTGTTTACCTCGGGGTCTAAGGGGTACGAATACATTGGGTTTCAGAGTAGATGGCACTGGGCACAATCCACAAGTTGGGTGGCTTATATGGACCTCCATCTAAAAGACATTTTGGGGGTTGTGCAATCTACTCTGAAGCCACAGCATCTACCACCTCAGCAAACTTCAATAACATCTTGCAAGACTTCTCCATTTGTGACACTCCTCCTGAAACACCCTTTGCCTGGGTGTTCTGCTGTTTGACCGCGGTCTGCTTGACCAACTCACCCAAACATCGAGGCTGTTACCAAGGGAAAAGCGCAGATCTGTCAAATGTCCTTGCAACCCTTCCGGACATTTAGGCCGAACCCGTGGATGTGCCATCTGCCTCGTGAGCCTGCAGATTCTGCTGCCGGGCCACCTCCTCAGAACAGTGGCACTCCACTCAGTTTGGAAGCGAGTTCGAAGGAGACCCCCAAGTGATGCGCGATGTTGTTATGCCAAAGGGGTAATGTCGAAAGTGTGACAACAAAGGACACCCAGTTTGGATTTTAGTGGGGGACCTTTTTCTACTCAAATTAGCTTTGTTGGATCCGAGGTGGAGTTGTGCCTTCTCATTTCCTTATCTAAATAAGTAGGGCACCATCAGCCATCAGCTAAAGTAACAGTTGATCTGCAAAGAAATAAGTATGCCCCAAATGTACAAACAAGAAGGGTAAACAAATAGATTATATAAATATATAGACACTGATTCACATAGGAGTTACAAAACAGCATGCCCTCTTGTTACAACATCTAAGGTAGCAGCGGTCTATACCTGTCCCAAAAATCAAACATCAATGAATGTGTCCAAGTGACAAACCGAATCTTCTGTCATGTGGCACTGGTTGCGCAGGAGTTTTATGAAGGCGTCCCTTCTTAACTGATGTGGGAGCGCATCGAACTTAAATGTGTTGCCTGATGTTGATATGACATACTATATAATATATATACACATGGGAGGGTTAAGTCCTATCTCATGTGCATGACACGTTGTTTCTGCTTCAATTTTTTCAGGTTACACATGACTGGGGAGTTAACCAGGGATAACTCTCACAACACTAGGATAGTCACTACAGTAGCAGCACCAAAAATGGAAGCAGTTCAACTTTCCGGAAAAATAGTCTCCAGAATTTTGGCGGAAGACTAGCGGCTAGTGGTCAAAGTGTGATGGCCTTTCAGTTCTTTCCCAATAAGTCGATGGCACTGGCATGGGTCTGTTTTGGCCTTCATGGCGGCCCAGCCCCGCCTGCTCCGGCGGTCTGCGAGAGGAGACGGAACACCGCCCTCCCCACGAGGGAACCGAACCGCCCTCCGAGCCGCTGTGTAGAAAAGGAACATCAAGGCCAAGAGAAAGAGCCACCTCAAAGCTGAGTTTTCTCAACCAATGATCCAAAAAGAACTCCGGTAGACATGGATGGGTCATGAGATGTCATTTTCGTCATGTTTGCGCTCGAGGATGTTCCAGATTCATCCACACTCTATCTACTAGCCAGCTTGTAGTTCCAAGCGTTCTCATCCACGGTCTATCTTCCACTCAGAGTCTCAATGATGACTATCCAGGCTGGAGTACAGCCTGGCCCCACAAATGTTATCATTGATCGTGACCTATTGCGACAAACCTCTGTTCAACAGACTTGTCTCTCAACCAGTCTCAACCAATCGTTCGAACCACAATGAACATCAATGAACCACATCTACCCCCTCACACAAATGAACTGTGCTTACACGCTGACCCACACCTGTGGGTCACAAAAACGTGAGGGTCTTCCCAATGCCCAAACAACCACTGTTGCGGAGACCTGTGAGAGACGAAGCTAGCGGGGCGTTGGTTGGCGCTTTGTATTTGGCGCACAACAATCCACCGTGAACTCCTTGCTCCCGAGGCACAGATGGCCCAAGGCCAAGCATCCCTGTGCCTGGGAGTGTTGGAAGATTCTAAAATGGACGCTGTAAAGAAAGGGTCGTTGGCCTGGTGAAGAATGGAAGCACCTAAAACCCGAGCCTCAAAGACTTATCGGCTAAAAGAATCTAAAAAGGGCTGGTCTTTGATCAGTCTCTGCAAGTTCGTAGGGTTTCGTGGCTGCTGAGCAAAGGCATTCAGTCAGCTAGTGGCTTGGATTCTCAGGTGGTACAGTGGTACAGAATACCTTCCATGTGTTGAGCCCAACCCGGTTCCACGTGCTTCCACGTGCAACTGGGCCGCACGGATGTGCAAAGTCAGAGTGTCGTGCGACCCTCCGAGCTACTTCAATGTCACGTGCCCTACCTTGAGTTCTTTTGCTTCCTGAAAGCCCCGGGGTCCTAAGAATCCAAAGGGCAAGCTTGGTTCTGAAGAGTCTTGAACACGTGAATGGGCGGGCCAGGAGCGCCTGCCCACAGGGTGAAGGAAGCGCCCGAAGCATAAGGCAGGACCACAGAAAACTCTCCTTATGCTGGTCCTGCCGACCACTTTCTCAAACCGACACGTTGGCCGTGATGCGATGGTGACACCCTTCTCCTCTTCAGCAGTAAAGCTCACCTGAAGCCACGGTGATTGGGTGACGGGATAAGTAAACCCAAAACTCCTCTAGTCAAATTCTACATGGAAGCGGTGTTCACCCTCTGGAAACACGGCCAGCGCCAGGTTTTCCACAGCAATATGGTAAAATCCGCATGTTTGTTCTAGGCTATATGAGCCAGCAAATAGACTGCTGGGTGCTGGGTCCTGCAACTGCATGGGCCCTTCCGGCAGGTCATCTGGCTGAGTACTCGAACGGCTTTAGCCGCACTGTGTGGTCGTCCCCTACTTCAATGCTCGTCGGCGGTCTTCTCGCATGTTCTTGCCCAGTGGCGCCACTCATGAAGAGGAAGCAGTTGGCAAAGAAAAGGGACACAACCAAACAACCTCGCAAACGTGTCTGCCCCGCGGTGTCCCCATGGTCTGCCCGCTCTGGATCAGTCGATCGTTTCGAATTAGCTTGGTATCCCGGAAGGATGATGCACGCCTCCACTCCACAAAAAGGCCACCCTGGAGCCTAAAAATATCGAACACAATGTTCTCACAATTCGCAGTTCGCATGACTCGAAGGCAAGGTAGGGTGCACGACTGCACGACGCATCACAGTGCTATGGTCAACCATACAACCAGGCATGAGTCATTGAGATTGGACTCTTGATACTTCGGCATTCTGTTGGGGAACCCCGTCTCCACCCTAATGTCTGAATCCTCAAATCCTATAGCCACTACGCCTCACTACACCAACCCTTGCACAAAAACGTTCAAAACCAACGGTCTCCCATCATTTCTCCTCCTCCCACATCTCCAGAGGACCGAGTGGCACACCGCGTTGAAGCCGCGGCGTTGATACGCCAGGCTGGGCGCCGAGAAGAGGAAGCCGGCGAACAGGCAAATGGGCACCTCAGCTGGTCTCTCCAGTGCTGGTCCAGTGTCTGGGTCCTGTGACCAGCCAGTTGCGCTGGGGATTTTCATCCGATGCGGTTCATATCGACCGGTTGCCACTGTTGGGGGCCCCGTCCAGTGCCAAGAACAGATCCCTGGAGTCTGGGACTCAGTTTGGCCAAACAAGACACTTGGACACCAAGATCATCCAAACACCGAATTTTCACCAAGCTCTGAGCCAATCACCGCCGAGGCACATAAATGATCCAAGAAGCTGCGACAATGCCCTCCTTGGTTCACCGGGTTGCAGACCATCTCGAGCAACGGCAATGGCTTGGCTCTGTGGTCAAGCTATCGAGTGCATGATTTCCAACCAAGACTGTACTGTGGTTCAGGGGTTCCTCTGGAAAAGCCAGGCTCTGAAGACCATCTCTGCTCTACAAGCCAGGTAACTTTGGTGCGCTTGTGAGGGCCACTTCGGGGGGCCACCTTGAATTCACCCTGGGAGAGGGCAGCCAACGGCCAGTGTCGCCTTTAGTACTCCCGGTAGCTGCTCAGCTCTGGCTCGTTCAAGGACCCCCCTCGCTCCCTGGCTTCCAGACCTGATCCGTCAAAGGAAGAGGAGGGCGAAGCGATCGCGCCACCAGCATCTACCATCTTCTGCCCAAGCGTCAAGGATGAAGACCATGAGCGCGCCAAGGCCAACCAAAACAAACCTCCACATTCGCAGTCCTTGGCACACCCCCGAATCACAGGGGGCAAGCAAACACTAGGGAGGACCAATTGAATGAGTTCAAGGCAGGGAAGCCGCTGGAATTCAATCTCCCAGTGGTCATACTACCCCGACAAACCTTGACCTTCCACAACTTCGAACCACCAAAAATCCGGCTTTGCTTCTGTGAAATAACCCTCGTGGCGCAGGAATGCAACGGCAGCACGCTTCCCCCCCAACTCAAATCTGATTCTCACAACAAACAGAACCACTCCAAGTCGAAAAAGGCAAACCATTCCGGCCAGTTCAGTTCCTGCACGATACGGAAAATGCCTTTCAAATGGAAACCAATTAATTCCCACTAATAAGCATACAACCCAGGTAGTGCCGGTGTTTTCTGGTCTTCCGCCCAGTCCTGGGGCTCCGGCGATGAGGTGTGGCCACCTGCAGCGGCCCCGCGGTGACAGCCGGTCACTAACGGGCATCACTGGGTGGAAGCAGGTCATCGATTCCACACTGTGGGTACCAGATCCATGATGATTCTCATGTGCTGTTCCAACATGTTCCAACTAAAGGGTGAACTGATGTGGGTCACCATATGTCACCATGTAACACTGTACTGTATCCCCATTTGGTGGCTCTTGTGAAGAGTCCCGAGATCGCCCCAAGCACCACACACTGGCGATGGTGTAGAGCAGCACGGAGCTCTTGGCCAAAGCGACCGCGGGCATCAACAGCCAGGCCAACAGCCTTTAAGTGCGGAAAGCGATGTTGGGTCATGGAACTACTTGTGTGACGTCTGATGGTAACGATGAACATGGAACTACTTGGGTGAACTTGAGGCCCAAGGGGGTGAACGAAAGCTAGCGAACGCCGCGAACGCTGCCCGCGAAGCTGCGAGCACGCGGTAGCTGAGGCTAGCTTTCGTGATATGCCAATTGAAAGACATATAAAGAAATGGGACATGGCTTTGACTCAGAACACTCTGAGGGTCCAACCTTCGGTAGCTTGACGGCCCAGGGCCAGCCGAACAGGTAGTGGAAGGGGGCCCAGGGTTGGTCTCCAACAATGGGCCAGCTGAACAGCTCAGGCACTCCAGTGAAACCAACTGTTTGGAACTCCGATGGTGCTGAGACAGCCCAAGAAGGCTCATGAGTACTCAAGTCTTCAAGTCTTCTAGTGCAGCTGGGCAACAAAGTGATGCACAGGAGGACCAAGCAAGGAGCTGTCATGCCTCCAAGGTGTGTGTCCCAGGCGGGGGGCAATCATATAACTTAATCACTAACGTAATCGCAATAACATCCAAAATCACCCAAAAGCATTGAGCCGCACAGGTCCCAGTTTGATTTGATGGATTCTGATGGGTCAGGCGTTCATAGGCGTTCACTCTTCTTTCCGCCCCCTTCAGCTCCGCTGAAAAATAGCAACAGCAAACTACCAAAAAAAAAAAACAATATATCTATAGACCTTTTGCCATTGCCAATCAATTGAGGTGGAGGGCCCATTCACCAAAGAAGGCGTTCCAAGGCCCACGCAGGCCCACGCGCCGCGCTCCACCCCCCACCTTGAAGGGACTTGAAGGCGGTCTGCTCGTGCACAGGCCGTCGGAAGGTGAGGCGCAAAATCAACTCAAAGAGGATAGGGATGGTACAGGCGATCGAAAGGCCCAAAGTGTACCTGTGCGAGTTACAGAATGGCTGTCAGGCATGCGGTGGGGCCGCTTGGCCGTGCTTGAAAACAATGGACCCTAATTAAGCTTTAAGGGTTGCTACAATCTTACAGTGGCTGCTCAATCTTACAGACGTAAGTGGCGCTTGTGCACTGAGGCAAAATCGAAGACACATGAAGGTTCTTTCTGGGAGGTGGTTTGCCAAAAAGACCCCCTCTGTCTATTGAAAACCTCTGGACTTGGCCTCGGCCAAGAGGTATTCCAAACCCACACAATGCCAAATCCCAGATACATCCTGATCAAGACTCTCAAATTCTAAGAATTTGTTTGGGATTGGCCATGCCACAGGCTTTGGGAATCTTTTGGGACTTGGGGCCAAGTCAAGGTTCCTATTTGGAGGACCTTGTCATCGCATATCCGATGCCAAGAGTCCAATCCACCGAGCTGGCTCCTGGTTCGGCGTCATGTGGGGCACGTCAAACCAACCAAGGTGAAGTGACTAAGTCTGGTTATAGTGAGAGTCTTGACCATGTGGCCCAAACCACGAAGTGTCTCAACCATGTGTCAGGTGACTTGCCAAAGCATGTTTGGTCAAGTCTGACTGGGCCAAGTCAAGGCGTCGGGCATAGGATATGCTTTTGGACATGGGGCAGCGTCTCCGGTTCCAAGAACCGGTGCGAAATGAGCAACCAAAAGCAACATGAAATGACCTGAAAGAAATGGTTTAGGGTTGTCACGAGAAAAAACAACAACATGAGCTGAACAATAGCAACCCAAACTTCTTCCGTGAACAAACGAAGGGAATCATGGACATGAACCTAGTGGAACCATGGCTCTCCCATCAATGATGATGTCCCTTTGCTGATTATAGAGGGGTTGATTTGGCATATACCATATACCTCTCCGTTGTACACTTGGGGCTATCCATCAATGAACCAACCCAATGCAACCCAATAGTAGAAGCACACTCCGACGCCTTTGGTCGAAAAGAACAATTCTCGTCCTGCGCGTCGACAAGAACAATTCTCGTCCTGCGCGGCAGCGGTTCCACCAGCTGCAGGGTCGAGGCTCGAAAGACGCTTCAGGGCACCAGTGGTCTGGCCGCGAGGCGAGCGCCGCGAGGACGCACAGATTTGGAACGAGGATGGAACGAGTGCCAAAACAGGAATCGATCTCCTGGTCCACAAGCAAAACATAGACTATGAGGGAGGTCGGTCAACCTATACCAAGGTTTGGGGCTGGACCTCCAAAACAGGAATGAGATGGAGGCGAGCCTCACCCATGTCCTGCGACGGTTTTGGGGCTAGCTCGCGCGTGGTCGTGTTACTGAGTCACCACCTCTTTGCGGTGCAACATGGAGTACTACAGAAAGGGGGTTGCAACAGTGCAAGCAGGAAGGGGGCAACCATCAAAAGAGAGTTGAGCCACTGACAAGTGCCAAAGAGCTACGGACATTGATGGGGCTCCATGGAGCTTCTATGGTTCCGAAGTCCAATGGTCCACGTGTCATTGAAAAGAATCTACCAGGACCAAAACGATGAAAGGATATATCATGATATATCTGATCGGGTGTCGGAGATCGACTTACAAGACCTCTTCAGCTGGAATTTCCAGCCTGAAAAAGGCGGTGAAGGATGTGTTTTTTTCATCAAAGTATGCCACCACTATATTGATTTGCATATCTCCTGCAGAATCTTCCAATAATTAACCTCGGCATTATATTTCTTTGTGTTTTTGTCTGTGAAAGGAATCAAATTTTTAAATGGATTGATATTGAGAAGGAATCTGAGGCCGCACATGCAAAGGGCACACAGAGTTTGGATGTTTCTTCTTTCAGCCTAAGCTGGAAGATTTCACACGAATCAAACATTGCATTTTTGTGGGTTTCCAGGCAAGTTTTCAAACCCAATAAATGCATGTGGCAAGAGATGATTCTGTGACGGTGTTTTGGACCTCCAATATCTTCTTGCCCTGCAAAGTCTCCTTATATATTTACAGTACATGGTCGGTCTGAATTAATGGTCACGGTGCAGGATTTGGTATTTATAAATTCTTTAAGTTCGGTCCGATTCAGATTGTGATGCAGTTTTTCAGCCCGAACAAGCGGAAGATTCACCTGCAAGTCCAAACTCTGTTATACAATGTTATACATGCGTCAGCTGGTACACCGAAGGAGCGGAAAGAAGTCAGCCAACATACCCAGCCCTTGACAGCCGGAAAAAGATCTGCTCCATAAAAATGGCACATGCCCGATTTTGAGGTCCCAAAACCTATTGGACCTCCTCTAAAGGTGTGTGTCACATGAACTCATACATCTTTGCACTCCGAGTCAGTTAACATGGAAGTGGATGGCGCCCCTGTTCGTACGGAAAGTAGTCTTTTTTCCAAGCCATGCCATGCACTTCCATGTGATGTGTTTGTCAGAGCATGTCAGAGCGTACCTCAGGCACATGAAGCAGTATTGTACATGAACTACGAGTTTTATGCCCACCTGGGGCATATCTTCAGGAACTCTCTGGACCCTTTTGGGGCAAGTCAAGGATGCACTGTCGAGCTACGAGTGACCCGGCTTTTTCTCCGGTGGGTCCCGCGGATCCCCTTCACCGCCGGGCTGACATCATGACTCAGCTCGGATGGCATGGCCCCCAAAGCGTGTGATCCGTTTCCGAAGACATCAGACCAAACAGGTGGTTGGTTTACCCCCACGTAAAACCCAAATGATGTCGGGGGAAGTGATGTGATGTCAGGCGGGGTGATGCATGGGCCTTCAGTTTTGGTCAAAAAAGGGCCCTTTGACCCATGCAACCTACTTCACTTGCTTCAGGCGATTCAGCGGCACCCCCGTCTCACGAGCAAGCTTCGCATACCTGAGCCGTGCAGCGAACGAAGTTCAGCATAAACATCTACAAATATATATATATATATATACAGTATATAACTGTGCGTAACTCTGTGAATACACTGTGCAAAGCTAAAGGCAAATTCCCTTTTTTGGGGTGCTTGGGGCTTCTATACTACCGAGGCTATTGGAAACCAGCGATACAACCTGAGATGGATTCTGTCTTGAACTCTTTGACCCGAGCAGGTGAGTTGTAAATCTGCATTTGCCCCGGCCAAGCACAAATTTGTGCTTGGGTGGTTCATGCAGGCAGTATCACTTGGCCCTGCCATCCGTTCCCCTCCGTTCCGCATCCACTCCAAGCCGCTCTTCATCCAAATCAGGAGCTACCACCAGTTGGTCTTCTCTTCTTTCCCTCTCTGGCAGCTCTCCTAAACCTCAACTGGACTGATCACTTGGGAGAAGTTGCAGACTCCGTCGGTTCAGGTGTGTGGGCTATGGAAGGTGGTGAATTGAGGCATTTGCCAGGCCAAGTCTAGAGTCTTCTCCTCCCCAACACCTCTTGGTACAATAGTCCTGGCAGGATCGGAAGAGAAAAACATGAGAAAAGCGAAGGTTCAAACCGTTCTGTTTGATTGAGAGGTCGGGGGTTATACGGTTCTATGGCTGTGGGTCAAAACCAGGAGACCTTGGTTGACGTACCCGGAAGGTTGAGCCAGGGCTCGAGGTCTTTTTACCCACAGCTACAAAAATACTATATGTATAATGTGTGTATTTTATATAGTTAATTATAATTATGTAAATATCCAGCACCTTGCTGTGCCTAAAGAACTGAGAACATTACACATCCCCATAGTGTAGAGAAGAAACAAACAAACATAAACAAACTATCCCTGAGCAAAGCCAGGTATAGGTGAAGTGAGGCTTTTTTCAGAGACCTTCACCATCCCACATGGCGTCGTCTCAAAACGAGGGGTCCGCCAAGCTCCTTTGCTTGCCTTCATCAGGACGTTCGACAGTCGTTTTTCTCATTCGATGCACGCCCAAATTCCATGCGGGAGTACCAGCCCAGCCCCGCTGACCTGTACACATCTTGGAGAAGGTCTCTGAGGAATCTCGGTCTTGTCGCCTTAGCTCCTCACAAAGGGAGAAGGCGCTTGAGATGAACGGAGATGAACGGACGGTACGGGTGGCCAATGATCCAATCAACCTACGTATCCTACAGCGTGAAATGCCTGGAAATTGGCTGGCTGGCCATTTTTCCACAAGTTGTGGAAGGTCCACAATACAAATACCCATCGAATACATGGATTCAACTGGCCTGTGCAGCTTTCCTCTACTGTACCATTGGCCATGACTCTTATCTTTGCAACCACAATTCAGAACGCTGAGTTACATGGGAATGATTTCTATTACTCAGTGGATGTCTTACACCAATTCGCGACTCTTTCTTCCGTCCCTTTAAGGGCCACTGTGACTTGCAACTCTTCATGGACCAAGTCTCTGGCATATCAAACATCCTCCACATTCCTCGCCCCCAAGTGTCCCCACGCCACTTGACCTCGCCCCATATCCAAGAGAACACGACAAACCTCGTCACGTCAAACGTGGCGATCCTTCCAACGTTAACCCTCCCCAACGGACCAGGGTCCGTCGGCCCGGTCCTCCTTCACCTCCCTCAGTAGCTTCTGTGCCGCCAGGTTCTTCGGCTCCAAATCCCTCAGCCTCTTGACGTCCTCTAAGGCGGCCTGAAGGTCGGGCCACAAGAATGAACAGCGTTCGTTTCTCGGAGATTCATCGAGAGTCCTGGGCTTGTATAAATTTTTGATCGTTTCTGGATCTTCCAACCTTTCGAGATGTGCAAATGATCAGACAAAATGATCAGACACATTCATCAACTAGTTGCCACAAGTAGTTTCTTGGAAGACGCACTTGCAACTGTACCACTTGCGATGAAAAACCACCCAGTTGGACATCGTGCCTGGTGCTCCTTCAAAGCTGTAAGGGCTTTGGCACGTCGGAAAAGAGCCTTTGGTTGCTCTGGTTCCTCACATTCATGGAGCTCTGTAGGAGTTGGGATGATTTCCCCAACACAAATTCCAGACACACTGTGGTTCCCTTGGCGCTGGGTCTGTCAATCTAAGGACTGCTACTGGGTGGGCCAATTGGGCCAATACTTCAATCCCAACAAAACTACTGCATTGGATTGCGTTGGTATCTTTGGTCCAGGCTTGGGACAGCACTCAGGGGTTTGGGACGGTTTTGGTCTATTTGCGGTTCCCTTTTGGACATGTTGTCCATTGTTGTCCGGTGTCACTTGTTGGTGGTACAACGCCCCTCCCAGTCAGCTCTCCTCTTTCAGGACCATGTCGCATAAGTCCTGATGGGAATCATCAACGCACTCTGACATGCTCACGGTTTAGTATTGACCCTGGCCGCCTGAAAGAAACACCCCAAACAAACTGGTCATATATACAGTATATATATATATATGTGTGTGTACACACACATAGATTTTGAACATAATATATAATATATATATACAGGGACGTATATACATATAAATGCAGTATATTAATATGTGTGCAAATTCATTCTGGAGGAAGCCTGTGCTGGCAACATGTTTCACACCGTGCGCAAACTAACAACCAATGAAAGTTTCAATCCCGATATATGGCGATTCTAGGGAAAACATGCCGCTTGCCACTCTGATTGAATTCAATCCATAAAAGTCGTATGCAGGCATCATCCGGGATATGTCCAAAGCATTGAAAGACCTCCCCGGCGACCTCCCCATAGCAAAAAGGGAGATGCTGCCTGTGTGCAAGTTCGGTGCCCCCAAACGACATGGGGAGGTACCAGTTTCTGTGAAGAGGAGTCTGACGAGCAACGATGACCTTTTCTCCGCTTACAGCGGTGGAGTAGCCGAGCGAGGCAGAGCGCCATAGCAGCCCTGAAGCAAGACATTGGTCATTCAAAACATCTTACCAGGTCTTACCAGTCACCCCAAGGGGCTGGACCGGTGTATCTTGCATACACTAAACTATTTGGCTCAATCTCATTTTGTTCGAACGTTTTCTTCAAATCCACCTTCTTTCCACCCTTCAAGGTGAACTCGACCTCCTTGCCATCCCGAAGGCGTTCACGAAAACTTGCATGAAGCTCATAGGTTGAGTTGGCCCCAAAGTCATCCATCTCAAAGCGATACGGGTATTCTTGCCCTAGTAGCAAGCAGGTCACATAGGCCTCTTTTGCATT